ATTTGATATATTAACATTGATATATATATTTTTTTTCAAACTTTTATGATATTTTTAAATTTATATTTTATTAAAAATAAAATCATTATTGTTTTTTTTAAAACACATAAAACTGTATTATAACATCGACAGAGACAAATAATAAAATAGAACATTAAAATCGAGATGTGTCTCGCTACATTGCGCGAGTACTCTTCTAGTAATAATTAGTACTAATACTAATCAGAGTTATAATTGAAAAAAAAAGTGTCAAAAAGCTTTCCATTTATAAGCTAGTCTATTTGCATCCAAAAATAAGTTATCTTATCTTTGTCAAATAATGCCTTAGTAATAAAAATCATCAACAAGGTTTTGTTCGTTGTGAGGACACAATACTAGTGATATACTGCTGATGCTGATGTGTTCACCTAAGTAATGTAGCATATAAACATAGCAAAGTGCTCACTTTTAGTGTTTAGCATTATTGTTGGTCCAACAATAAAACATACAATTCTGAAGAAAACTGAAAATGAACATTAATTGAAAGTAACCATGAATGCTAGTTCATCAGTTCTCTTTCAACCTTGTGTTGACGAGAGAGAGAGAGAGCTCAGGTGTGACCTCACCTATTGTTCGGCCTGACTAGTGGACACGACCTTGTGTTGACCAACGAGAGCTCAGGTGTGACCTCACCTATTATTCGGCCTGACTAGTGGGTACGACCTTGTGAATAGGCATGGACCTTGCTTTCAACCTCGTCTGCTGGCTCATATGTGCTAGCTTATATGCGAGCTCGCCTTCAGGCCTACTTACAATGCACATACGTCTCTGCCATTTTGCCACAAAACTTCATAATTCTTCATATATTCTTTTTAATTAAATTCCCAAAATTTAATTAATTTCTTTTGAGCAAACATCTTCATAAAAAATTATTTATTTCATTATTAACTATGCATGTGTGTAGAAACGTGTTCTAACAAATATTCGATCTTTAGAAAAAACCGGATTTATAGACATATTAAAACCAGTTGAAAAGCTGGGCACATTATTAATCGGTGGAGTACTTTTAACTTTCCTTCGTAGTATTCATGTGTGAATACAATTGTAGCACCTAGCTTAAGCTCTTGATTAAACTATTTATAAACCCTAATTCGACCTCATCCAACTCAAAGAGACAACAAAATGAAAAGCACCTCAATAATTCAACAATATCGCTTTTGCAAAAGCTTGCTTAAACGGCTGCATGTGATCCGAAACCATCAAAATGAGCCCATATTCATCCATATTCAGTACTATAAATGGCAGCACTAGCTTTTCCCTATATTCATCCATATCGTCATCGAATTGCGTACAAACCCGTCTCGAAACCAAACCGATTACTTGTTCTGTTGATTCATAACAAGAAAACCTCAAATGGATCCTCTTGGAATGCATGCATACAAGATTCAAGCCATCAAGAAGCACAAAAGACAGCAGTTTGTGAGCAATGTTCTCCTATACACCTTGTCAACATTGGCTTGTACACTATTTTGTTCCAGTCCCTTTTGGTATCCTCCGTTTTCGGCTACTTTTAACGTCGTTTTCTTCGTCTCCCTCCCAGAGATGATTTTGTTCTTCTTGTCCAGCAAGGTTTTATTCATCGTGGGCAACCTCATTGTCGTCTTTCTTGTGGTAGAATGGAAGTTTTTCACCTCCTTGTCTAAGGATTCAGGTGCTGGCTACTGTGATATTTATTACGATGCGTACAAATGCAAGATCCCCGATCTTCAATTGCTTTCAACCTCTTCAAACCAAGCAATCAAATCATGCGATGAAGCGAAATCGTATGGACATGAGGGAAAGATCTTGAAATCGAACGGTGGTGATTGGGAGGAGAGGGTGGTAGATGTAAGTTTGCCTGGAGATGAGTTGAAGAAGTTGGCAGATAATTTTATTGCCAGGATCATTATACAAAGAAGACTTGAAGCTCAATTTTGCAGGTGAAAACCATCTCCATGGGGTCATTTTTTGATTCACTCGATGGCTGAGGCTAATGGGGAGTTCGGGATTGAACACGACATGTCTTGTACTTGGACAAAGTCGTCACGTCCTTTTGCCAACTGAGCTTTATATCAAAAGCAAAATAAGAAAACACAAAAAAGAATAACTCATATAATTTTATACTCAAATTACATGCAATTACAAGATACAATCAATGTAAGGGTGTGTTGACAGCTTAATGAATCACAATGTGAATTTTCAAGAATATCTTATTTTAATATAAGATCAGATATAATTTAAGTGTTTTTGTGTTATCTTATTTAATCATTGTTACTGTCTGAATCCGAACTTAGATATATATATGTATGTTGATAGATGGATGATTAAGAATATATTTGTTAGCAAGTAGCTTAGGGACTGTTTGAAAGTTGCTGAATGGCTTGGTGCAAAATGATTAAGTGGTCAGAATGATTAAGAGGTTCTCATGATATACTACAAAATGAAATACAATTATTTGGTAATTATTTATAACGAAATTAGGGCACTGAATAGTTAAGAGAGGTCCATGATATAAAATCATTAAGAGACAGACTTTTTTTTCGTCAAACAATATTCATTTCTTAACGATTCAAAGGCTGTCTCTTAATGGAACTATTAAGAGGTAAGCAATTAGTCATAATAAGCACTAAGCTCCTAAGAGATCTTTATGAAGAAAGTCTAATAAGATATTTTTTAACTTATCTCTCCTAATTAAAAAACACATTAATCTATACTAGCTTGTAAAGCAGATTTGATAAAAGTCATAAAAACAATCTTAAATGTATAAGATACTGCTTCTTTGTGCATAAAGTTTTAAAAGTCTTAATTACAAGTCATTTATGCATATGGTACGACTCAACAATATTTCTCATATTTAGTTTTGGTTCCCAATAGACATTAAAATTTTAAATCATCTACCCCTTTCAAATTTTGACACTTTATGTTCTCAAGATTTTCATCTTACCATCAAAAACTCTCTTACCATTTCAAATTTCAAATGTAAACCTCATATTTTCATAATTCACGATTGATTTTTCCTAATCACCTCCATTGCCCTAGCTACATTCTTCCTCGCCTCCGTCGTTCATCACCGTCTCTCCTCTGGTCGCACCGACACCCTTACATAAAGGTCTTCCTTTGGCTTTCCATTGGCTTACATGGTTGTATAAAGGTCTTTCTTTGGCTTTCCATTGGCGTCCATGGTTGCATAAAGGTCTTCCTTTGGCTTTCCATTTTACTACTAGGGTTTGAGCTAGCTGCTTATTTTAAAGGTTGGCATTTCGGAGCTCTAGATCTACATTTACAGTATTTGTATACATTAACAACCCCATTTGCTTTTAAGGGTTTTCTTTGATTCAATATATTCGAGATGAGTTGCGATTGGTGTCGAGTATCTTGCTACACCGCTCTAGTCCTTGGCAAATGCTTGTAACTTGCTCCACCGCTCTAGTCATTTGGGTTGTGATTAAAGGGTTTATGAATAATTGTAGAACCTACTAACACCAACATTTTGGATGGATGTATATTTGAATCTAAATTAAATACAAATGTTGTAGGCTTTGTTACATTTTTAAGAAATTTAATATCTCAAAATTAAATAACCTTAATGAACTTTTTACATCCTGCTGCATTAGACGGGTAGACAAATAGTAATTTATACACATAAATTTACAAAAACATTCATGAAAAATCAATGGTAAAGTTTGAAAAGGATTAAAGAAAAGAAATATACATACAGCAGCAACAGCACCGCTTGAAGAAATCACGGATTTAGGTACGTGGCGCTTCCTCTTATCTCCATGCAATATTACACTTGAATATCATCGCCATTCGTCACCACCACCATCTTCTTCCATATCCAAAACATACGAACCACCACCCATGGATCTCATCAATGGCTTCTTGAATCTAGTAGCACCTCCCTTCACCTTCTTCGCCTTGTTGCTCTTCTTACCTCCATGGATCTTCTTCAAATTCTGCCTCGGCATCCTTCGTTCCATCTTCACTGAAAACGTCTACGGCAAAGTCGTCCTTATCACCGGCGCCTCCTCCGGCATCGGCGAGGTACTTGAAAACATGTATCCACATGATTTTTTTATAGCTTTCAAATTTTGACTTCAAATAGATGTGAAATTGACGATTATTTTATCAAGTAATTGAATCGAAACATTTGAATTCCAATGATGCAGCATCTCGCCTATGAATATGCTAGCAGAAGAGCGTGCTTAGCTCTGTCTGCACGGAGAGAGAGTCGTCTTCGGGAAGTTGCTAATCGGTGCCGGCAGATCGGATCTCCTGATGTTATAGTCATCCGCGCTGATGTATCCAACGCTCATGACTGTAAACAACTTGTTGATCAAACTGTTCATCACTTTCATCGATGTATACAAACACTCCTTTGCTTCATATAAATTCTATGAATAATGCTATAGAACTGTAGAACATCTTGTCAAAATTATCGTAACAGAAACAGATGGATGCATAATGCATTTCATGAATCGTAATTTTGACTAGACCTTTTGTGATTATATATTTTTGTTTTCAATTTCCTTGGTGAGATCTAATCATCTGGTGTGTGCAGTGGATCATTTGGTGAATAATGCAGGAATTGCTCAAGTGTGTATGTTGGAAGATGCAGATGATATCACAAATTTACGACCGGTCATGGTAAATTCCAGTTCGATCTTTGATTGATATAATAGCCTTAATCATGTTATTGTTCGAATTGCAACATTAATTAATTCAATATGAAAGTCTGTAGCGAAGAAATCGTGCAGATAGATAATTGTAAAACTGAATTCAAATTTTTTGAAGAATCCCCAAATGGAAGTACTAGAACCTTCCAGTTCATGGGCCATCTTGGGCCAGACCTACCTATAATGGATTCATGGCATACTGATGAAATGTAAAGCAGCCCAAAATATAGTTGAAGCATAATTAATGTTTAGCGGTCGTTTACTATTTTTCACAGGATATAAATTTCTGGGGTTCCGTTTACACTACAAAATTTGCAGCTCCATATCTGAGAAACAGTAGAGGCAGAATCATTGTGCTGTCTTCTTCGGCTTCCTGGATGCCTGTGCCAAGGATGAGCCTCTACAATGTAATGTCCTGGTAGCTCATTTACTACTTTCTTTAATGCATTCGTTACAATAAAATCGGTTTTATATGATGCCAAAGATGCCTAAATATAACCATAAGGGTGGTGTCTGATTGGTTTGAGCTTGACTCTAAAGGTCAAAAGTATCAGGGAGGAATAAAAATTTTCTTGTGGCCACGGAGGTTCAAATGCGGCGGCTCCAGGCTATCAGCTTTTGCAGGTGGTCGTCGTGAAATTAGTCGGCTCGCATAGCGAGTTAGATATCATATCCAGGTTAATCAAAATAAAAAAGATGCCTAAATGTCCTAATAGATTTTTACAGGACTTAACAATTGTGTGTGCTATATAAAGTTGTTAATGTGGGTGTTGTCAATCATTTCTCACATGCATTGGTGAAATATATATCTCATGCTATAGCTTGTGATCGATATTTGGCATGTTGAGTTTAGGCAAGCAAAGCAGCACTCTTTCAGTTTTATGAAACACTGAGGGTTGAATTCGGGTCGGATATCGGTATAACTATCGTGACTCCGGGCTTCATAGAGTCTGAACTGACTCAAGGCAAATTCCTTTCTCACGAAGGCAAGATGATAGTTGACTATGATGCTCGAGATGTAAGCTAACTAGCTTCTTGTGTTATAGCATCTCTTTAATTGTTAATCACATATTCTTCTTCTATCAAACCAAGCTATACATATTAATTAAGCAGATTGAATGATTGATCACAGGTGCAAGTAAACTTGACTCCGGTAGGGAGAGTAGCAGGATGTGCAAGGGGAATAGTGAAACGAGCGATGAGAGGAGACCGGTATGTAACGGAACCCAGGTGGATGAAGATGACATACGTGTGGAAGGTGTTGTGGCCGGAGGCCGTGGAGTGGACCAACCAACTAATGTGCATGACGAAAGTTGGCGGTGAGTCTCGGCATGACACTTTTGGGAAGAAGATTTTGGACATCACTGGAGTTCAGAACATTTTGTACCCGGAGAACATTCAATCGTCGGAGATGAAATCAGATTAACTTATACTTGGTCGATCTTCCCCCTTGGTGTTAGTGAGTTGTGTCGTTCTCGTGTTCAGTTTGGTGTTTGTCTGTGTATAAATAAGAGATAGAACCCATATGCGAGGTGAGTGAGTTAAAAGACTGACTGTGCATGTCGATATTGAATACTAGTTTAAGTTTCTGCATGTTTTTGAGATGAGATGCAGCAGCTCAAGAATACGATCAGGAAGAAAAAGCGTTCATCAAGGTCTCGTTCATTCTCGAGTTTCAACACTAGATGGGAAGTACTGAAGTTCAAAAATTAACCCCAGTTTGTGGTTTGTTTGATTAGTAAATAGAAAAAAGGTATTTGTACCATGTGACTGCCGAAAAACGAACACAAACGGATTCATCGAATCAACAAACAAATACCAAGGGATCGAAGTTTTTTGTGTTTATGTTAGTCGTTGAAATGAAAAAAAAAAAAAAAAAAAACTACCATCACTATTATTGCGTACCCCAAAAATAGAATAAGAAAATGAAAAATCCGAGTCATCTTAAAAGGGGCATAAAAAGAATTCTATAAAGGTAATCTAATTAATGATTTTAATTACGTATTAATTCATAATTTATATATATATATATATATATAATATATATATAGGGTATATTTCTTTTACAACCCTCCCTATTTATACAACCCATGCAACCTCCCTCTCAACCAATCAATGAATTTTGTTTGTTTTAATTTATTTTTTAAATGAAAAGGTTAATATTGTCATTTGCTAATTTTATATAATAATTATTATTTTTAAATAATATCAATAAATATCCTAT